TCTTTACAAGGGAGTGTAAAATGAACATTTATTAATGTTCATTAATAAATAAGCTGAAAGGCCTCTCAAAACCAGGAAAAAGAAGGAAAAACGCGATAAAACAGTGATACGATTGCAGCTTCAGCCAAAGCAATCACGAAGAGGCAAAAACGTCTGATTTGTTTGAAAAGCAAAAGTTTTGTGTTATAAAAAAAAACTGCTGCTCGATAAATCAGACGAGTGATGATGGATTTTTACAGCACACAATGAGCAAACCTTATCCATTTGACGTCCACACATAGCGATATAAGTGAAATAAGAACGTGTTGCTGAATTGCAATACGCCAAAAGTCGGGCATTGGCTCCTTTCCAGATGCGAGAAACAACATTGCCCTCACCGAACATTCTAAATGTCAGCACGTGAAATCGAAAGATTATCGAAAGGCTATTGATAAAAAATGAACAAACAAATTAACTATGAAAATAAGAAACTGAAAAAATCCCTCAAACGAATTGATGAAAATCATGCTTATAAACCAATGAAAATGGCAAAAAATGAAAATAATGCCAACGAAAAGATGAAAATATAGAAGGGGATGACAAAAATTACAGTTACGAAACGAAGAAAATCATATCAGTGAACTGATGGAAATCAATTTAACGAAACGAATTGATGAAATTCATAAAAAACAACTGGTGAAAAATATATAAAGAATCAAACTTACGAACTGACGAAAATCATACTAACAAATTGACAAAAATCCACAATAACGAAAAATTATAACAATGTAATTCCAAAAAGAAAACTTACGCAGCACATGCCCGCTGATCAAGTTTGGTGCCGATGATGGCTTTACAGGTTGGTAAAACATCCGCTTCAATGGATACTTTCTGCACCGCTTGTATCATATTTTCTAGCATCGTGTCTTCGATCGGTAGCCAGGCATTCTTGAAAAAGTAAGTGATTCAAAATTTCACAAAATACCAAGAATATCAGGACAACACGGGAAATCAGTGCGAGCATCCTATATTAGCAATGTTAGCAGGGTACTCCCAGTAGAGTACTCCTAGGCGTAACCATCACATTCCCTTCGATCCTGGGCTGCTTATACTCCCAATTAGTACCTACAGACACGTGTGCCATCTGTACGAAACCGTAGCTGGTAAAACAGGAAATCACATATGGCAAAGATACCTCAATGAAGCCAAAAAATGGTAACGCCTGGGATAACGAATAACGGTTAAAACACCCCGCTAGACCTCCAAACCGCTAAATTCCTGCCAAAATACTGCTGGGAAAGCCACTGGAATCAGTATCCCTTCCAGCAAACGATGGGGAATGTCAGGATTTCCAAAAAGCTGACCACAAAGCGATATAGCAGCAGCGAAGAAAGTAGTCAGGAAATTTGCCAATTGCATAGTTGAAAAATCAAAGTCGAACAAAAAAAAAAAAAGTATAAATATCTCGGATAATGTAAAATACAAAAAAAAAAAGAAATACTTTTATGTAAAATCTGATCATATCACATTCCTCGTCTGCGAACGAAAGTCTCGCTTCACCATGTGCACTGGTGGCAGCGTTGAATGCCCAGTTGCCAAGTTCCAAATGTGCCTTGGCCAGCTGTGGTGCTAGTTTACATGATGTGTTCAAGATTGCACCGGCGAAAGCATCCACTACGCCTGTAATAAAAGTGTTTAATACGTCCACCTGGTCAACTTATACTATTAAAAGGGACAATCAAACCCTTTACAACTCGTTAATTAGTTTCAATGGCAAATTGGTACTGGCACGTTCAGAA